CTTTGCGAGTTGATATTTCAGTCATTCCGCGACTATGGAAAAAATCAAAATTGACTGAAATTTTGGAAATGTGAAAAATATTGGAAAAAGTACACAGGCACGTATGCAAATTCGTCTGATCTCTCGTTTGATTTTCAAATCTCGCGGAGAAACAGCGAGCCAATATCCAACCGTGTAATATATCGCGGAAGAGATACATAAGAGTATACATACGGCACAAAACAAGATTGAAAACAAGGTCACATAGGGTAATGTTTATATGAACTTTTTCTGTTATTTTTATATCCGTGATGTACCCCTGTTCTACTTCGCATGTACGACGAGACGCCGTATCTGATTTCTAAAGTCTTCTCGCTACTCGATCATCAAACCGAACTGTTGTTTCGATAACTTGCGTTTAGATCAACCTACGCTACTTTAGATTCTAGTTATTGTATATTGTATCATTCCTCTAGAATTATTGTGGGTTAGGTTTGGAGCAAAAGCGAGGGTGACTCTGAAATTGACAGATATTCCCTCGTAATTGAAGAAGTTGCCGTAATTACGTGCCAAAGCTTTCGCTATTAACGAGTACCCCGATAGCTGGAAATTAGAGCGGATAATGCAATTTAGTCACGTACGTTGGCAGATGTCCGTGAAAAATGTCGATTTCATGACTAACCTTACAATTAGTCAGATACCTATCCACGACTTTCTGCAACGAGAAACCGCACGAGAAAAACGAGAATACGAACGATGGTTATGCTTACGTATTGCTCTCACAGATCGTGTTACTCCCATTTATTTTCCAACTAACAATACTTTTTAACAGAAGTACTACGTTTGCTTTTGCGATATTTGAAATTGTAAATGAACGTCTCAGCGTTATGGTACAAAAGGAACTTGTAACCATAATTTTGTATTTATTAATTGCGATTGTTATGTATTATCCCTGAAACAAATGATCTTTCCAAATACATAATAAAACATTCTGTTTTACAATGACAAACATTGAAAACGAAAGAACGACACGATCTATATGTGTTTGTTTAGCAAATGTATGTGAATTTTGAAAAATCTGTTTCAAACTACCCACATACATACGTGATAGTCTATTCTACGCGTTTGATTTAGTTTTGCATCGTGAAATGATCATTACGCGGTATATGGAATTTTCATACTCTACTCCTTCGCTCTGCTCACTCGCAGTTTAAAAGCTCTGGTATTTTTCGGCGAAGCTAAATGAATCGGATAGAAACGCGCGAGCCGTAAAAACTTCGATGTTACAATTTCGTCGGAAGACGCGAATTCCAAATTACGTTCGGTACGATGTACACAGTTATACGATTCAACAATTTCGGTATAGGAATCTATTCGCGTAAAAATATAAATAAAAAATGGAAAAAAACAAAACGTGTCGAAAACGATCGACGACACAACAAACTGAGGGAACAAACAGAGCATGATTAATTATTACTGTATGGAATTTATCGGAACGTCGAATTTGTGACAAAACCATCGATGTTGGCACAATTTTTTCGGTTCGTGCCGAAATAACGTCGAAAAATGTTACACTCTGTCTATTTGTACTGTATAATGTTTAACTGGCGCGTATGCAGGTAACGAGAAGTGAAAAAAAATTGAAGTGAACGCGTCGATGCAAAAGCTCTCGCGTATCGTTCACCGTCTAAATTATAAATATCACGTTTCGACGGTTCGAATCATATTTGTGGATGATGCTGTGTTTATAGCTGGATCCTTTTTTATAGAATAGAACGAATGATTGACTTTCGTTTCTTCGCTGGTCAGCTGTTTCTGTTTGTTTTATAGAATATTTCTTTGAATAGCCGCGGTACAATACGTGCGACTTGCAAACTCGTCCGAGTTCTTTTCATTCGGTATGCTCCCTCTTCTCGTTCGGACAAGTTGCCAGGAATTTCAGTTAGTCAGTTTCGCAGCAAGCTGAAGTCGAACGGCTACAAGTTCAAAATATTAGTAATGTCGGTTTTTCGATAAAATTTTGTTTTATTTAAAAGTTTTAATATAGTTTTAATCTATGATATAATTTAACACATAATAAGCACACTAAGTGCCAATATAGAGTAACATTCAACTAGAATACAGGTTATTATGTTACAACAAGTTAAATGATTGTCACTAATAGCAATGTTTGTTAAATTCGAAGGAAATGACATTACTTGTGGTTATCCGTAATAGGATCTTGAAATCTTCGAGTTTAAGTGAATATATACATCGGTCATATACGTCAACAGAGTCTCAGTGACTTGTATTTTTTTTTTCACGATTTTTTGTATTTCAATAGTGGCACCTTCTCTTCTGTAATTTCCGTGACTCGATACTTTCAGCATCGTGTAATTAGTTATTGAACCGAGCGGCACGTTCTACTACGTTCTACCGGCTATTTGCTCTTGATGATTGTTCAGTTGTACGCTCCAGATCCACCAGCGCAATATTCATTTCGCCCCGATGAATTCTCTAAAAGATAGAGTACGTGTTCTGCGCTTTCTCTCCTCGAATCGTCCAGTTTTCCGCCAGAATCGAGCGTAAGAGGATATACCTACAAAGTGCAGAGAGCGGTGAGGTCCTCTGTTCCAAGTGATCTCCAAGATCTTGGCCCTAGTGGCACTTTTACGTGCGCTCTGACCCCAACTTTATCGTTTCGACATACACACACATGCACACACACAAACCCCGTGTTCCATCGGCACGAACAAAGAACACGTATGCACACGTATGTATGAATGTGTTCAGAATCCTATGGGTCGAAATCTTGTTAGTTCGTGTCCTCGAGCGATTAATTACCTACTACTAGCACCTACGTATACATACGTTTCTTCCGATTCCTTGTATTTCTGTATTCACGAGCAAACTTTAAAACTTTATAATTACCTGTCGTTCGTCGATTCGATCCTTTGCTTTCAAATATTTCCCTTCATTTGCCACTTCATATTCATTTCTTCTCCTTTTGCTTTTCGATTGAATTTGATCGTACACAACGATCCATTGATTTCATTTGAATTTTGCAAACATCTACCCTGTACTTTTAATATATACGTGTGTATAAAATTTTGTTGAAAATGTGTAAAAATATATTCACATTTCCCTGCAAGACTAACGCACGTGCTTCCGTTTACTGATTTCAGGTTCTAATAAAGATACCTCGAGACGCCAAGCCATACTAATCACTCGTAACTGACTAGGGTGTACATTATGACAACTCTGAAGGCTCCTCCGCATCGCCTCAAGTCGTAAAACAAGTCGTAAATCGAGAGAACAAGGCGTGGAAGAAACGAAGAAAAAAGACAAGAGGAAAAAGCAGCGACGTCACGAATTTTTACCAAACTCAACGAACGCCTGTCCATCTAATCCATTAATCCGCGTTGTATCGCGGATACCTGATCAGCAAAACTAGTATCCGAAGAGTTAATTTAGACACTCCACCTCTAAAGAGAGGAAACAACGTGGTTGTACGCGAGAAAGGGTGAGCACGTAATTACGTCGAAAAATTCCATTTTCTCCGCGCCCCAATTTCTCAGAGGAAGTCATTCTCTTCGTAATGAAAATTAAAAATGGTTTACCTTTTACCGAGGCAGTTACATACCGGCCAGCTGCAATCTCGTACCTACCTTTAAATCAAATTATCCTCCTTTCATTTATTACGATATTTTTCCAAGTGTATATTTATTTAGCGTCCACGCCCGCGCCTGAAATTTCACTAATTAATAATTGACGAGTCGATCGCTTCGATTGAAACTTGAACAATTCGGACGAAGCTGTACAGAGCTTACGATAGAAAATATATTGCAGCACGACGATATTATCAACTTGGTTAGGTACGAAACGAAACGATGTATTTACTTTTCCTATTGTTTCAGTTTATACGTGTTTGTAAAGTTGTAATTAACAGAGAAACGTAAGCAAGTGACGTAATCTTGACGTAAGATTGACCATATTTCAAGCCAGATTTTTGACATCTTTGATAAATCATTCGTGTCTATCCAACGAAAAAAATTAATATCTATTTAAAAACCGCACATCTTCCCTTTGCTGTTGAATTACCAAATTATTAAGTCTTTTGGACAATCTGTACTACGCTGATTACATAGATGTCAGACATAGACTTGAGTCTGCGTAATCAAATGCCGAAAGCTGAACGCATTCACGTGAAATTACTACAGTTTACGGATATTTTCCCGTTGAAAGGGCGCGTTAAGAGCGGCAGCACTGGAAATGCAAACAGCACGTAGATTATTAGAAGCCGGTGAAAACAAAAATTAAATGGGGAGAGCTGTTTTCGAGCAGATTGATAGAAATTCGATTTGCGCGAGCGAACTCGACGGATGTAGAAGAGATATATATATGTGCAGAAAGAGCCGTTTTAAATCGCAATCCTCGTAAATTCTCGACTATTCTCCACGAATTCCGAGAGCGCGAATGTATCGGGTCGGGAAGTGCACTGCTGCCAGCTGTAGAGTATGGAAAAGCAAGAACATTCGCTGACATCGGACGTCTATACGCGATCGATCGATCTCAAATGCATACCAATGGCTAATGCCAGTACATCTACCAAAAGATCAGCTGTAAACTCCTTCAACGAACATCTCCGCATTTCCAATTTTTCTCGCGGCTTTTCCTTTTCAATTTCATCGCGGCACTGTCACTAATTTGAACCGTGATTCAAGCCGTGGTTCCTTGCTCGTAAGCGCATTTCTCGTTCGTTCATTGTTTGCTCATCGCGTTGTAAGTGATATAAATGTACACGTACATATATATATATGTACTCGTAGCGCTTGGCGGTAAGCTTCTCAGTCTTCGGTGATTCTATATAAAAATTCTAGATATAAGATTTTGGTGATAAGCTTTGAAATTTCTCGTAAATATCCCCGGTAGAGAATGCCGTAGATATGATAGGAGAAAGAGGAGAGGGGATGAGTAAGAGGAAGGAAAGAGAAAGAGGAAGAGGAGAGAAAAAGATGGGAAAAAAATTGATTACAGGGCTGGAAGAAGCCAGCGAGTACGAAGGCGCGAGGAGATCGCGGGGCCCTCCTCTGAAAAAAGGGGCTCCGCACGAGAAGGGGCACGCAAACGTACCCCTGGACCCGTCGTGGTGTTGTCCGCCGGGGGTGGCGGTGGTGGTGGTGGTGGGGGCGGAGGTGGGTGCAGACGCCGTGACTTGGAACGACGCGGAGGTGGCGGTCGGGGAGCTCCCTGTCTTGCCACCATCAGCTCCTCTGTCGCGGGGAGTGCAGGGGGTTGTGGCCCTGTGGTGGGGCTACCCTCCTATAAAAAGCGTCAAGGTATCTTCTTCACCCCAAAAAAANTACGTCCCCCAAAAAGAAAAAAAAAAAAAAAAAAAAGAAAAGAATGTGATGATCGTTTCGTCGTTGATCCAACGTTTTATAATCAACGTAAATGCAACTTTCTTGTGAACAACTTCAACCGGTTAATTTGTCAACTAATGCATTTTGCGACAGTGAGTCAAGTAAATACTAGTGCAGACAAATTATTGTAATTATACCTGTTGCGTAATTACATGCGCATGTATGGAATTTAACGTCGGAAACTTGCAGTAAAAGGAAATTATAAAATATTTAAGAGCGGATAATGGAGAAGATATTAATTTAATTACAGAATTATGGAGGAAATTAACGGGGGCTGTAGTGTAGTTTGGCTAATTTATACGTTATTAAATAAACGCAATATTAACGATGCCTTGCTATTATTGTATATTAAAAATATTATATTAAAAATATTAATAATATTATAGTATTAGTGTTATTAAATAAAGTAAACAATTTTAACAGTACTATCGCTATTACAGATGATAGACTTATTCATCTACTTGTTATTAATTAAATAAGGCATTTCAATGACTAGTAGATTATTGTTCTAATAAAAACATCGCATGAAATTAACCATAATTAAACATAAAATTCTCATTCTCATTTGAAAATTCATTCAAATTCATTCTCGATATTATTCGATTATCAAAAGTATCATTTCTCACGCCAAAAAATGAAAATCGCAAACGCTTTGAGAATTATTGAATGCAACGTTATGCAAGAATATACCTTTTACGTATTTTAATAGAAATATTTCATGTTATTATTTAGCCAAAGTGATGGATATATGCGATACTCGGTTCTTCAAATTGAACATTTACTTTTCTAAAATAAAAAAACGAGAACATTGGACCTACAATATATGTGTACATACATGCACGTATGCTGATTGAAATGCACAAGAATTGTTTAGCCAAAAGTGTAATATTTTGCATCTATTTCATATACGTTTTCATATACGTCGATGTTACACGTGCATTAGATGTTCGTAATATAGATATGTATATACATACTTTATAAAGAGTCTAAAGAGATTTTCAAAAAGACTGTATAAATCTACATATATAATTATAATTGTTATATATTTTCCATTGATCCATTGAAACAAATGAAAATTTCAATTTTAAATTAAACACAGCTGTTGCAATCGTTAATATTAAGCAGGGCATACACATATGTGTGTACGTATGTATGTATGTTTGTATATATGTACGTACATGTACATGTGGTACATAATGAATAAAGGAAGACGTCTAGTTGACTGTTCTCAATCTTATCTAACGTGTCAGGTTAAATACATTGGACTTGTCTTCGCTGGCACAGGCTTAGTACCTTATTCAACCTTTCAGTAAATTTAACCCGTTACGGACAGGCTTTGAATATAGAATTTACACTGTGTGAAAATACCGTGATACACTTGCAAAATTACTGCTTGTCGCTTCTAACATTTATTCAACATTATATTGCAAATTATTATTATATTATTATATTTTGCTTACTGACAAAACTTTGACTTGCCTTTACGTAAGTTACTTTTCTCTCGCTATTATATATATCTCGTTTAATATTTTCAATTATTTTGAATTATTGCATTTTAATAAAATTATTCGAACTTGTTCAAATAACTACAAATTACTGATGTAATATGGCACGTGATTCTCAGAGAAAGCCTACACATCTTATTCCACGTCGCAGGATATCTAGGTCATCGTCGTCATTCTCTTTGTCCATGCCTGACTTATGATAGACACGCCTGATTGTGATTGCAGTTGCACTTAGGTGGACAAACTGTAATATTCGATCTCTGAAAATCACTCGATCAAATTAGCATCGAATTAAATTAATGGCGAATCGTCACAAAATTCCTTTGCGCGTGACAATACTTATTAACATAATAACCGTTTAATTCATTTTCTCATTTTATCGTACGCTCATTTAATCGCGATATAAAAAAATAAATAAATGAATTACCTGCTTATTTTATTTTACCCGAACGAGTCAAACAAGTTTGTTTGTTTCCATCACCACGTATGTACGTGTCATGGATAATACTAGTCTTCATCTGGTTCATATCAAATATCGTAGACGCTTGCTTGCGACAAATAGAAACGTGAAGTTTCGAATGTGCTTATAATAGAAAGAAATTTATCGATAACTCAACCTACTAAATATTACGAAATTTTTATTTCAGTTGATTTATTATCTAGTAAGTAAGAATTAACGAATTGATTTACGAATCTGTGCGGTAACATAGATAACGTTACGTTTCTCTCATAAAAAATTGTTAAATAACTGTTTTTCGTATAAATATATGCAATCACTGCGTTTCAATTGGAAAACTGACAATTGATAATTAGCGATTAATTTAATATTTTGGTTTCGGTGATGGACAATTGATTTTGCTAATTAGGTTGAACACAATTACACGTTATTGCCTTTCAGTTAAGCGATTCGTTTAATTAAAGAAGTGATTACCAATGACCTGTACTATTCTACGACGGTACTAGCTCGTTTCAAAGTCAGTTAACATTACTACTACCGACACATCGCCGCTTAATTCCGGAACGCAATTACAGCTTTAATGTACGAATGTATGTGTTTCGGCCCGCCGTTATCATCGAAGCGCATAATTCGTTTCTATGGCTACCGTTTCGAATTATTTAGTGCAGTTTATTACAAATCATTGCTTATACATGTGTATCGCGTCGTGCCTATTACACGAGCATTTACATGATCAAACATTGTCCTTGATGTACGTATTTACATTGTATTTTTATAGAAAAACTTCACCGTGACATTTTTTTTTAGGTAAATAACAGCAAGAATAAGAATGACAATGATAACGATGATAATTCAATTTTACAAAATTTATTTCTACGAGTCTCGATCGGGATGTGAACGTTGAATAAAAGAATTAAGCTGAAAACGTAGCGAATGACACGATTCCATAAAACTGTTAAAACTACGGCCGGTAGTGACATTTTATGTATTTAATTAGCATACTTGAAGCCGTAATTAGGAATGGAAAAACGTCCTCGGGGCATCGAGACAGCGATCAATACACAACTCTCGAATTCTCGTTGATTGAACTTTTCAATCCTCGTGAATGTTTCAACGTCTGTTTCATGAAATTCTTGGACTGAAGCTAAATCTGACATTTTTTAATGGCATTCCCGTGTTCTCGTTAAAAACTCGGCAATTTTCATAGGGCACGAATGTGTCGTTTTTGTCTGCGATTTACCCAAAAACGTTTCTACTAATAACATCTTCTGATATCAATATGTTCGGGTCGTGTCAACGTGACTGGCTCTAATCTCCGCGTTGCCTATATTTAGAGAGTTTAGACTAACGATCCGTATCTGTACAGAGAGCGGAGAGATTTTGACACAAGTTGCGTCGTACGTTTGTCCCGAGACCAAGTGATCTCAGACTTCCTTCCTCGGAACTTTATCCGGACTGTTTTCGCGCGTCCTCGCAGAAGAGTAACAAACATAATTAATCACGTGCATCTGCGATTGAAGCTAACAACAAGCTATAAATCGGGGAAGTGACAACACGAGAGTAGAGAAGGAAACGCGACTGATGTGAAAAGCTTAAAAGTTGACGTCTTTGGGTAAATCGCGTACCTGATATTACACAGGTGCGTACAGTGTGCGTGTATGTATGTATGTATGTATGTATCTGGTATAGTACAGGTATACGTATGTATAGGTATGTTGCACGCATTGCGCATCAAGTCCATGTTAAAGACTAAATGGTATTCTAGGTACTGTTGGAGAGGCGATGAGGTTTAAACGTAACTCGATGTATAATGTCGAAGGTACCGGTACCGCCTGGGGTCGAGGTAGCCGGGGCCGTGGCAGAGGTCGCGGGGGCGGCGTCAGCCTTCTTGGTTCAGGCGTCGCCCCCGCGAATTACTCCTCAGCACTGCAGGGCGTAGCGCCTGAGCTACGAGAAGTGGTGAACATTCTTGGCGAGAGGAACCAGGTTGGCACACTGACAGGCGTGGGACCACCACCGGGAGCCTTGGACAGCGATGGCCAAGGGGACGAAGAGGAAGGCACCTCGACGAAAAGACCACCGCGACCCCTCTACAGAAGGCTGATCAATTACGTTCGACAGGCGTGGACCGGCGTGAAATTCGCCTTAGGTACTAACTTCCTTAACTTCTTCTCCTAGTTCTCTATCAACTATTTCTCAGCTGCATCTTTGCAGCGTTCTCGATACAACGTTCTCTCGTATCCAGATGGCGTAGCCGACAGTTTACGACAGACATCCAATTTATTCCACATTTTTCAAAGTTCGTAATCTTACAATTTTCAAAGATTTCCACGTTCTTTGAAACTTTGAAGCTTCGTAGCTTCAGCTATTTATGTTCATCTAGAAAATCAGTTTCTGACAGTTTGACAGTATCGTGTGTACCAGTATCGTGTGTAGGTAGCCTTCGTCAAAACGTCGTACAGATCCATTTAAATTGTACGCTTTGTTTTACTTTATTAGAGATTAGCGAGCCGTGAATTTGAAGTTAATTATCAACGGGAAATTGAAAATACATATTTCCAACCGAAGCTATATTTTGTCTCCACATTTTACGCTGAAAAGTGAAGAAATTCGACAAAATTGCACCTGTCACTTGTTTCTTCTACGTTATGATACGATCGTAAAATTTTATCGCGATTCTCTGTGTACGAGCGTTCGAAATTCAAAGATTAAGCAGATTACGTATCGGGATGCAAATATGTTTTAGAAAGTTGGCAGGAATTTATCGCGTGCTGCGAACCGTGCTCTCGAATCGGATCCCCGCGAAGTGGTTAGAACACATTTTCCCGAAACGTGTGAGTCTCCCGAGCTTCTCTGTTGCGAGAGGCCTTCAACTTGCTTACGTGCTCCACTTCGTCATCTATGTTGCATGATTCCTACATACTTCTTCCTGTGTACGTGCACGTTCGCCACTGTTTCATCCGTTTCGAGGGTTATTGTGTTCGACTTACCTCCAATCGACCTTCTTCTTCCGATGCCTCGCCGAATCCCTATCATTGCTCCACATCCTTCTCACTTTTCCCGCCCTTACATCCATTCTATATCGTACTATCGAGTAAAGGCGTCATCACTTTTGGCAACCTTCTTAAACATCGCTAGAATGCCTACGTTTGTTTATTCAGAAATTCAAAAATTAACTAATTCCCTAGAATGATATCAGGGCATCCGAAAGAGAACGTGGCGTTTCGTTACGACTTGGTTCCTTGCATAAAGTGAAACATTATTCGATTATGCAATTGACGATCAAAAATTGATCGAATAATTCATTCGAATTCATCGAACTTGCTTTATCGCTTATCATGTATATTAATACATGCGTACATGCGACACGTAAGAATTGATTATATTGTATAATAATTCAAGAATGTAGGAGAAAGTAGGTTAATATTTCCTATTGAGCAAACAGTTTCCAATAAATTTCTTCACCGTCACTCACAAGCCACCACCTTTCGTTCGTATGAAACGAAAGGTAACTGAATTCTCGAAAGCATTTTCCGGGCTGCAATTCAACGCCTCGTTTAATCGAGACGAATAAAAGCATACGTCGCGTCGCGTCGCGTCGCGTCGCGTCGCGTCGCCTTTGCATCGAAACAAGCTGACAATAGGTTCCACTCACTCACACCACTCGCGGAAAATTCATTTAAACGCGCAAATGTATTGTTAGTCATGATTGGTGAGTCGTCTGTGCGCGTCGAGCGCACCTGCCGCTCGAATCGTTCCGTTGCCACCCGAAAAGAAACACAAAAACACGCGCGAATGTTAATTACCCGGCGTTTTATATCATTTAACTAAAGTTTTATTGTTACAGTTGCAAGAGAAATACGTTCCTCGAGGCAACTTAATATCGCGCGGCGCGAAATACTTTGAAATTTTATTAACGAAATTCCTGAAATCGTAAAATGTAAATAACAGGAGAACTTCTTTTACATTCTTTTTCCTTTCGATTGAACGAAACGAAACGAAACGAATTAATTATTACCCAATTCAGTAATCTACGTACAAGCCTTACGTTCTCATTCGGTATTTGCTATTCGTGAATTCTACAAATCGGAGGAAAGAAAAAAAAATGTTGTTCCCTTGAACAAGAGGAAACGCCGATAAATTCTACACTGAATACAAAAACAGAGTAGCAAAGAATTGATTTACTGTTTGGTATTCTCTTTTTCATTCCAAAGGTTACACAACCAGCAATCTACGAGTAACTCGAACCACGATCCTAAATTGAATGCTGATGCTGTCTATATAAAAATCGTTCGCCTTAACGAATGTACACTTTTTTTTATCCACGGTATGTAGTATAAATACGGATAAATAGGTTAGATGTTATCTGTACATTTCAGTCAAAGTAATGAACATCGAAGCGTAAAACGTTAAGATCAACGCTATTGCTACTTAACATTAATATCAGGAATCTTCCATAATATTGCGAGTAGCTAAACATTTATACTTCGATTGCTTAGAAATATGTAAGGAAAAGAAACAATCTGCTATACTGTTTAATATAAGCATTTATATAAGAATTTATATAATTGAAATTTTCACATAAAATTCGAAGAAAATTATCTGTTATCGACATTATGCTCTATTTGGATAGGTACTAACGTAACACATGCTCAAGTGCGAATACGTATGCTCATGTATTCGTCATAAGAAATGAAACATTTAGGAACAGTTAGATATGAATTCTCGATGATCTAAGGTCTTCTTAAAACAACATTATATTCGTAGTATGAAATTCAAATTCAAACGCAAAGTTTGTTTAAGCGAAATGTCTGTTTCTCTTTCCACGAGTGGTCCATTTCAATATTTCGTGCAGAGATCATTGAATAAACAACTGAATCGAAACTATTGGAGAAATTGTGTACTAATGCAACATCGTAATTACGTTGTTAATCATTACGTACGTAGGTTTGAAAAAGCGAAGTAAAGAAACGATAGATTACGAATGCTCGAGGAATAAATTGGATGTACAATATTGAAACGGTTGATGAAGCTCGTGTAATAACGTTTTATAACGTTTCATATTAAATCAGTCTGTGAACTTTACTCTCATATTGTGTACAGAGTTTTCCTTCAGCCAACATTACTTTATCGCTCGTGTGAAATTGAAAATTTTAATTAAGAAATCGAGACAAAACTGTCTCGCAAAATAATTAGGCAAATATTTGCATCTTTCTCTCTCTACCTCGTACGTATGAAAAGTTGTTACGTAACACGTGATGTACCTTTCAAATTGAGGAAATTGACCAAATTGACGCGATAGATACTCGACAAGCGTGTCTTTTTTTCTTTTTCCTTTTTTTTTTTTTTTTCACAATTAACGAAAAGCGGCTAGCTTCGATTTGGATTTTGCAGACTCGGAATACGAAGAGGAGCAGACCCCGAGATACAGACCCGACTCATTGGCGAGTCTTTGCCGAGCCACGAGGTTCACCGAGGCAGAGCTGAAGAGAATATATCGTGGTTTCAAGGCAGAATGTCCCACGGGAGTCGTCAGGGAGGAAACTTTCAAGTGCATCTACTCACAGTTTTTTCCGCAAGGAGGTAGGTCGTATATCATGGTATAACATCTGAAAAATTTCACTACCGTTTCCCAGGCTGTTAGTTAGCAACGAATTAATACCCGAACACGCTTAGTGGGAAAATGAACCACTTCAATCGTTCAACTAGAGACGCACCAATTGACTCTTTTCGGCTTGACTCTGACTCTAAGATTATTAGGTACAATGCTACTGCGAATAACATATATAAACAGGTCGTAATTTTATGAAATTATTTACTTTATACACTTACGTAGGCACATACGTACGAAGAAGCTACGGTACGATAATCATACCGATCTGTTCGACAAAAAGAAACAAAGAAACAAAGGAGAAAACAAAAGAGGAAAAAGGAAGATTAGGATTTGAGAATCAGCCGAATGCTATTTCTTCTTGTTTATTCGCGCGCGAGGTATCTATTCACATTTAAATTCCCTCTGTTTCACGATAACGCGAAGCTTGCGCGAAAAATATAACGAATATAAAAATAGAACGAGAGATACACATGGGTAGTAGGTAAAGAAAAATACAAAAGGGATGAAAGCACAATCAAATAGAGCAAATAGTTGCACGATACTTGGTTGAATATATAAGAGATAGGTGTATATATATATATATATATATATATATATATATATATATATAGTCACACATATATAGTCGCTATGATAATAAACCCCCGTATGAAAATGGTGCTGCGTTTCAGCGTTTGCCTTTATCCGTCCGTATAAACGATATCGATATTCATCAGTGAATGGTTTCCTATCGATTTCAAATATTTTTCCGCTTTCGAAAAGTTCTGTGCAACTTGCAAACAGTTTACCTTCAGCTCCATCGATGACAAAGTCGCCCGATTTCATCTACCATTTCGAGTTTTTCAGTGTATTCTATCGATCGAAGGGCTCAGAAAATAACGGTGGATAAAGTTACATTATACAGAAATCTACATATACATCCTATTGTTCTTTTAACGATATATAAGTGTAACGACGTTTCAAATATAAAAAAAAGTATACTACTAATTTGCAATGATTAAATTTTAACATAGCTTGGGGCAGCGGTTCCCAACCTTTTTTTCTCTGCTGTACTCCTTGACTGGGCTTTTCATTCATGAGTACTCTCTCCTCTCATAAACCCTCACCTATTCCTTAAAAACTTTCACGTAAATCTCTCTTTGTAAATCAAAACTCTATCGCTTTGTCCTTGCGTTTTTTATTTCGACTTCTTTCTTTCTTTCTTTCTTTCTTGGCGTTTTCCGCCATTACCAATATTGTTTATTCTTAGAAGGGGAACGTGTACCACAGGTTGGAACCGCACCTGACATAGGGCACGGGTCATAAAGAATTTCAAGTAAGACAAGTTTAACCTTATGACAAACATCAAATCATCATTATGAAAATTTTGCTTTTAATAAAAAGAATACTTGATCGCGCTTTAAGTGAGATGTAAGTTTAACTTTATAAAACATGGAATCATCGTTATGAAAATTTTGCTTTTAATAAAAAGAATACTTGATCGCGCTTTAAGTGAGATGTAAGTTTAACTTTGTAGCACATGGAATCATCATGATGAAAATTTTGCTTTTAATAAAAAGAATACTTGATCGCACTTAAGCCTAAATTTTTAACGTCGTGTATTACGCGTGTGTTACAAATCGTATTCTCTCGTACATATATACGTATCTATATAGCCATCGATTTGTTGTTACGTGTATATTTATATATATATGCATATTTCAGTGTAACGGATACGTTGCTATATTCAGAAAGCTGTCCTGAAACTGTCACTGCAGTTTTTGATTGACGGATCAATTATCTTCGCTTTAATTAACGTGTGTCAGAACGCTATATGTATTATAGAAAGGGAGTAATTAATCTACATTCTAGAAACAACGCTGAATCGAAATTTAATTATTACTCTGCTGAAATTACTCTTCTTCCTCGTCTCATAGTCAGTATAGACGATATCGTGGATAATAATTTCGGCAGTAGAAATGCTTAAAAAACACTTAAATTTTAATTATCTAGACATGTAAAAGTAAAACGTTAATGCGACAGATTAACCGACGTTCGTTGACAACGTACGTTTCGTCGTTTCGTGGGGCTGGCAAATTCAATTTTAAAAGAAAGCATTGGAAACGTTCGTTTGACTGATAAAAAATTTTGACATTTGGGAAAAATTACCTCTCAAACAAATTAACCTCAGTCCTGATGACAGTATCGATTTTTTAACGTTTTTGTTGAACCATCGTGTCATGTACCCAGCTCTGAGCACCCACACGCATACACAAGTACACAAGACGACCTTCGATCCCTTGACAGCGACAATTTTTCTTCACCAACGGTTTCATGGCTGAGTGCTGCATGTCGTATCGAAACCGTCGTCTGTTTGTCGTTCGATGTAAGAGGGAAAACGAAAATGTACGGAAATTGTTTACGAAAAACAAAATTGAAAATTGAAGAAAAAATGTTCGCCGATAAGCGCACGAGTTCTTACTCTTGTCGACGAGATTCGACAAATTACATTGTTTAAATATTATCTCGATAAGTATTAGAAACGAGTATTAAAGTTGCAATTTGAATTTTTTTTATAAAGAATAAAGAATAAGTAGATACTTACGCATTGTAACTGTAAATATATTGTTGGCAACAAAATTGATCGCTGGCTACGTACATCTTACTTAATTCAGTGATTTGCAGTATCTTTGTTATTTTAACGATATACATACATGTATATCGTTAAGAATGTCAGAGGAAAAGTGATGACCTCTATACGTCAAAATCTTTTCGATCGCGTTATTCAATAACTGTCAACTTTCTATGGAAAAATACAATATAAAAGTATGTGCATGCGCGTACATGTTGCATATATACGTTTGTACATGTTGATCACTTACATACAAGGGTGAAAAGGATCAAACGCGAACACCTATTCCTGCTTCTTATCAAAGGGAAGCATGTCTGTACTTATCTAAAACTCCTCAGGCGTTTCGAGAATGCAAACGAAATCCCCGTGTATACTATATATACTTCCATGTATATACCTTTATGTACGTTGGTGCAATGAAATGAAATTTATATCTTTGAAACTGTCCGAGGAAACGCTTCAATGACAAAAGCATCTCTCTGAGATTCGAGTCGATAGTGAAAAGTCAAAGAGGTGAATTGCGACAACGAGACAACATCGATTTTGCTGAATAATGAATTTTCGCTGCAATATTGCTTACGGCTTAGAGCAATATCCTGTAGCTTCTGAACCCCGAACAAGATTGTGTTTGTGCAGGAATATATATATATATATATCTGACCTATTGTATACCGGCTCTAAAGTGAATTTAATAATTTACATGTGAAATTTTGCGACGTATGCAGAAACTGCTTCGTGGTTGGTTAAATTAATTATTTCGTAAAATCTGATTTTAATAACGTGATTGAATTGGCTGTGAAAGAAAGAACGTGTGTGTTCATCGTTGATTTAAAAAATATGAATATGAATAAAGTATAAAATAAGAAAGTACGCTGTAAAAAATTCCTACGTTGTAGTTTCTCGAGTTGAAACTCGCAACATTCAAAATTGTGTATATGTCAGTATTCATCAAAGTAAGTAAAATAACAAATTAATAAACTCTCGTTGTCGAATTTGAAAAATGTAGGTAAAATTCTATTTTGACGTTGAACTATGGCAAAGCTGATTTATAATGCGGTTCTATCATGATAAACGGGTAAACACAAATATGAAAGAACATCAGATCAGAAAGCAAAATGTAAATGTGGAAAATTATTGTTGGTATTCGATAGATATGTGTTTCCGCTCTCTAAAAGAAAATCATAGAACGTCCCTCGAACGAATCCTTGAACGAAAAATACAAGTTTCAAACTTTTAACTCTCTTAGAAAAATATTCATTGCCTCGACGTTATTGTTCTCTCGAAAGTAATCAAAGCCGAACTTGCTTCACCGTTATTTCTGTATATTTTCGTAGAATATTATTTGTATTATACTGATAAAATTTGCCATTGACGTACTATGTACTTCAACACTTTTTATCATACAGAAAAATAACACGGGTGTTTGCGAAATTGAAGAATAACGAGAAACGATGAATTGGCTATTTTTATTCGTCGCATCGAAATTCGTGACAGGGTGGTTGATGCAGAATACAAAATTAATTTCTGATTTTTATCGTACCGCTAATTGTGAGTAATGATATATTATATGTCTGCCTGTCTTCCTTTGAAAACCTAATTCGTACAAGCTCGACAACTTGAACGGGTTAATCTACTTTACCCCGGCCCCCTGTGCTTGCACAAGAGTCCCACTGTGATAATTCACTGGAAGGAGCCGAGTACTAATTTCTAGGCGAATCCTTTCAATTGAAGCGGCACCTCCGAGATTTCTGCTCAAGTGAAGATGAAACTGACATTCCTTAACTTCTCGACGAAAATGTCGTATACACACACACACACACACACACACACACACACACACACACACACACACACACATGTACATGTCAGACCTAACTCTTTTACCTTTGCAATTCAATATTTTATTTTACCCCGTAAAATTTTTATCAAATTTTTTTTTTCATCCGATTAGTTCAGCCACTTTTCCAATACGCGAATAACTGAATTCCTCACGCGCAACGATTAACTTTTTTACGAGTTTTCATAATTTTTCCTCTAAATTCTGCTCGTTCCGTTTGACAGTGTAACGATTCCCTTCTGCGGGGAAAGTTGTCACAAATTGCGTTGCGTATCGCTTAAAAGAAATAGGAGTAATGTTTGTGTCGCGTATAATTTCATGTATAAATCGCTGGTTTAACTCGAACTTGCATGGAACAAGCAAGCGTTATTATATATTTATTGTTTCACGTCAAGTCAATCATTCAATCATTTTCAACGTCAAGTTCGACGCTCAGAAAACAATTCAGCGTTTGTCATTTGACGATGAGAGTGAAGTGTTTATTGAGACAGCCTTTCTATTGGTAGAAAATTATTATATTATAGTATAGTTAGTATAATACAATGTTATCAAGAGTTTCCCCTTTCATAAACTTTCTTTAAACTTTCTTGAAGTAAAGCTAATATTGTTGAAAAGAAAGTAGTAGTGAGTACGTTAATCGAAACAGTTGGAATATGCATATTTTAATTGAAAAAAAAATATATATATATATACACTACACAACGACGAAAGTTAGGAAAACCGTCTTTGTTCCTCGAAGGTACTCGAAAGGAACGATGTAGGCGACAGTTTGTTCTTAAAATTGCGACAAACTGCGACTGTACAAATACATATGCACATGTGCATATTTCACAGACATGACTAAAATCTCTACCTTTATTTTCATTTTTCAGCCAATACTAGCCAGTACGCGCATTACGTTTTCAACACGTTGGACCAGGATCATAGTGGCATCCTTAGTTTCGAGGTATGTATTTTTGGTCGTATTAGCGTTAAGTAGCGATAAAACTTAATAATAATATCACGAGACGTGCAATTATAACGTGATAAACAAAACTTTCAAATATAAGAGTATCACGTATGTACATGAAACTTTGTGAACAACTTTCGTTTCTTCTTGACGGAATTCAGTAGATTGATGGATGCTTTGTAATATGTCCTGCTCGTACGTTGCATTGTAGCTAAATATGTTACTGCAACTTGTAATGACCAAAGTTTAAACACTGTTCGTGCATCGCCAGCTGGAGCAAGCATTTCAACGTTGCACATTCATCATGCGAATTATTGTCGCCCTTGTACAATTAGTCGTTCGCGCGATTCGATTGGCAAGTGTGCCTCGAACAAATATTCGGCGGAGATTAGCCATAATTGCCAAGTAGGATGCCAATAACGAGCAACATGGATCTAACTAAGTTTTCCAATCAATCGATAGTAGAGTTCAATCAATCGCTGATTTGCGGTTAATTTGCGGATCGATTGCTCGGCCGTTCCTCCCATTCTGTTTATCATTCTCGAAAATCAAGAAATAAGAAGGGCAAAGAGAAGTCGTTCGCAGATAATTACCAGCTAACGTAATTATCTCTCGAGGCTTCAGGTTGGAAACGTACTTTGTGTAATTAGACCTCGAGTTGCCCGAAGCTCACACATTACGGTGCCTTTTTACGCCGCAAAACATTTTCTCTCCCCGTTTTCTTTTCTTTTTCGGTTTCTTCCGCGCGCGCGATGAAGTTTCTACGGTAGCCTTTGACGTACAACTTCCTTTAATTAACTCTTTTTATCAGATTCCATTTTACCACATGCCACACACGCGTGCAAGCGCGCGTTTACAGAACAATATAAGTCAAGTTTCCTTTTTTGTTCGTACGACAGTGGCCGACAATCGACAATTGTCTTTTACTTGTGATATGTCTTAACCGTAAAAGGCTCCGTCACGTGAAACTGTGTACGTGTAAACGTGTAATCATTTGACCGTGTGTATTTTTAAATCTATTATTCGTTGTATCGAAACGTACATCATATTGCGCGACGATAGTTTTTTTTTTTTTTTTTTTTTTTTTT